CCAGATTCCCTCCACCCTCTGGGTGAAAAAAAATGTTTCCTCATATCCCCTCTAAATCTCATACTCCTTACCTTAAATCTACACCCCTGGTCATTTATCCCTCCAGCCATGGGAACAGTTCCTTCCTGACTACCTTGTCTACAGCCCTCATAATTTTATACATTTTAATCATGTCCCATGTCAATCTTTGCTCCAAGGAAACAACCCCAGTCTGTCCAAACTTTCTTCGTAACTAAAACCCTAGAGCCTAAACAACATCCTGGTAAATCTCCTCTGCTCCCTCTCCTGCGCTATCATATCCATCCTATAATGTGATTCCAGAAGTGCACACAATACTGTAGCTGTGGATTAACTAATGTCTTATACAGTTCTTGCATAACCTCCCTGCTCTTAAACTCTATGGCTCTGTTAATAAAGACAAGTATCCCAGATGCTTTCTTAAACATTTTATCCAATTGTCATGCTAACTTAAATGACCCATGGACATCAACACCAAGATCCTTCTGAAATTTGCTGCTTCTAAACATCTTACCAAGGCATTTCCTTGCCTTGTTTGCCCTGTCCAAGTTCATCACCTCACATTTATCCTAACTGAATTCCATTTGCCTACGATCAGCCCATCTCACTGGCCCATTTATAACCCCCTCTAATTTAGGGCTACCCTCCTCACTAATTACCATCCCAAACATTTTCATATCATCCACGAACATACTGACCAACACTCCTACATTCAAGTCCAAATGGTTAATATATATGACAAACAGCAAGGGCCCACACTGATCCCCACAGAACCCCCAATGGGCACAGGCATCCAGTTACACAAACACCCTTGATCATCACCCTTTGCTTCCAGCCATTCAGCCAATACTTGATCCAAGACGCCAAATTTTCTTGATCCCATGGGCTCATCGTTATCAGTGTCCATGCAGGACTTTATCAAAAGCCTTGCTAAAGTCCGAGTACACTACAACAAATCCATTGACCTCATCTACACACCTGGTTATTTCAAAAAATTCAGTCAAGTTCATCAGGCATGACTTCCTTCAACAAAATCATGCTCCATGTTCTTGATTAATCTCTGCTTCTCCAAATGCAGATTAATTCTGTCCTCAGAATAGCTTCCAACAGTTTCCCCACCACTGAGGTTAGACTGACCAGCCTGTAGTTTCCTGGTATATACCTGAAGGCCTTTTCAGCAATCATAGAAGCAATGGATAGAATAGCCTCCTTCTAGGTTACACATTTCCTGTGGACCAGAGGGCAGACAAGAAGTTTTTTTTTACACAGGGTTACAGTGCAACTTCCATTGGGTTGGTTCAGGAAAATTAAATAATAGCTTTCAAAGGACAATTGCACAGAGTACTGCAAAAGGAAACAGAGATGGGAATGTGGAGAAGGAGTCAGAGAATGAAACTGTTTGGATATCTCATGCAAAGAACCAGCACAATAACAATGGGCCAAATGGCCTTGCTTTCACAGCAAGACTCCACGAAAAGAGTTTCTTGCGAGGGAATCAGCTGTTATCATTTAATTTTACAAATATCAGATTACTGTAGTTGCACTTTGCAAGGCCCAAGGGTCCTCATCTTATTGCTGTAATTCTGTTTTTTCATTCAGTCATGGGACATGGGAGTCGCTGGCTGGCCAACAGCTATTGCCCATTCCTTGATAAGGTCGTGGTGAGCAACTGATACAACTGAGAGGCTTGCTAGAACTTTTCAGGAGGCAGTTCAGAGTCAACCACATTGCTGTGACTCTGGTGTCACATGTAGGCCAGAATAGGTGAGAATGGCAGATTTTCTTCCCTGAAGGACATGAGTAAACCAGATGAGCTTGTCCAGCAAGTAACAATGATTTCATGGTCATCGGTAGATTCTTAATTCTTGATAGTTTTACTGAATTCAAATTCACCCATCTGCTGCGACAGGATTCAAATCCTGTCCCCAGAACATTATATGAGTTTCTGGATTAATAGTCTGTCGATAATACCATCAGGCCATCACCTCACTCCCTCTCAAATAACATATCAAAGATTCCAGAAATTGCCTCAACTCGATTTTACAGCCTTTTCCCCATAACCCTTGATTCTCTTACTGATTAAAAATCTACCTATCTCAGCCTTGAATCTATTTAGTAATCCAGTCTCGACAGTTGCTCAGTGCAAAGGCTGAAGGAGGAAATCAATGATGATAACTCAGTGAAAATTATGATATAGGCTTGATAGACAGCAAGGATTTTAAAAGAGAGATGCAAGAGATAGAACAAGGTGAGATATTCAAAGAAGGAAAAGGTACGAGAGGAGAATGGGGGCAGTCTAAGTTGAGATTTGATGTTAAGGCCCACACAACTACTATATCAGTTTGAGTGAAGTGGATTGTGGAATATATAGCCAGTTGAGGAGGCTTCACTAAAGGCCAGGTTTCAATCATTAAAGATTAAACTAAATTAGATATTAAATAGGTAGCATCTAGGTTTACATTGACCAAAAGATTCCAGTTTCAAACGGGCATAATTAGCCAAAGCTGCAAATGGTTAAAAAGAAAGCATTCTTTTCTTTTTTTCTGTTTTCCATCTGAATGAGAAAAATAATTTCAATGATTTTCATCATTTAAATATTTCAACATTTGGCCTTCCAAGACATTAGACCAGGTAATTTGCTTCCTGACTGCCACCAATACTGCTCTAAATCTATAGGAGGGTAATCCTGACTAAATCATGTGCTGATTTTGCATAAGAATTTTTGGGGGACAAAGAGAGTGCACTCACTTCTAAAATTTTCATCAAATAATCTATCCCAAAACCTGCCTTTCCCCAGATAACTCAGAATCTATTGTACCATAAAATCCATAACGGTTTAAGTGTGATTCTTTGAAAGCCTATTCATGGAGAAGAACAATGAAAATCATACAGCACAGGATGAGGCCATTCAGGCCACCATGCCTGTCTCAGCCATTTGAGGGAGAGCCAATGCATGTTAGACAATTAAACCCCACAGTTTAACCCATTCCCCTGCAGGTTCCCCAAGGAGACATCACTGATTTGTTCTCAAGATAAGACTGAAGGTTTAATATTCAAATACATAATTTCCACAAAGGTGTGTTCTATATATTACCTATCTGGCTCATTAATGTCCTTCAGGGAAGAAAATCTGCTATCCTCATGATCTGGCCGACATATGACTCCAGACCCACTGCAATATGGCTGACTCTCAGCTGCCCTTTGAAATGGCCTAGCAAGCCACTCAGTTGCATCACTCAACAAAGAAATGAAACCGCATTGACTACACACCAGAAAAGACAACAGCAGAAACACCCCTGTCGCCTGCAAAGTCGTCCTTACTAACATCTGGGGGCTAGTGCCAAAACTGGGAAAGCTGTCTTACAGACTAATCAAGAAAAGCCCTGACATGGTCATATTCATGGAATCATAGCTTATAGACAATGTCCCAGACACAACCATCACTATCCCTGGATCCTGTCCCACTGGCAGGACAGACCCAGCAGAGGTGCTAGCAAAGTCAGGAAAGAGTTGCACAGGGAATACTCAACATTGACGCTGGACCCCATGAAGTCTCACAGCTTCAGGTTTAGCATGGGCAAGGAAATTTCATGCTGATTACCACGTACCGTCCTCCCTTGGCTAATTAATCAGCACTCCTCCTTGTTGAACATCATTTGCAGGAAGCACTGAAGGTGGTAAGGGCACAAAATATACTCTGCGTGCGGGATTGACTCAGCAGCAGCACTACTGATGGAGCTGGCTGGGTCCCAAAGGACATAGCTGCTAGACTGGGTCAGTAGCAGGCGGTGCGGGAACCAACAAGAGGGAAAAATATACTTGATTGGATCCTTACCAACCTGCCAGTTGCAATTGCATCTGACCATGACAATATGGTTAAGAGTGACCACCGCACAATCCTTGTGAAGAAATAGCCCTGCCTTCACATAAAGGATGCTGTATGGCACTATCACCATGCTAAATTGGACAGACTTCAAATAGATTTAGCAACTCAAGACTGGGCAGCTATAAGGCACTGCGAGCCATCAATAGCAGCAGAACTGTACTCCAGCATAATCTGCAAACTCATGCCCGGCATATCCCCCATTCAACCATTACCATCAAGTTAGGGAACTAACCCTAACAACAAAGAGTGCAGAAAGGCATGCCGGGAGCAACACTAAAAATGAGATGTCAACCTGGTGCTGCTATCAGAACTACTTGCATGCTAAACAGCATAAGGAAAAAGTGAAACAGAGAGCTAAATGATCCCACAACCAACAAATCAGATCTAAGCTCTGCAGTCCTACTGCATCCAGTCGTCAATGGTAGTGGACAATTAAACAACTCTCTGAAGGAGGCAGCTCCACAAATATCCCCATCCTCAATGATAGAAGAGCCCAACATATCAGTGCAAAAGGTAAGGCTAAAGCCTTTGCAGCAATCTTCAGCCAGAAGTGCCAAGTGGACAATCCATCTCAGACTCCTTCGGTGTTTCCCAGCATTACAGATATCAGGCTTCGGCTAGTTTGATTCACTTCACGTGATATCAAGAAACAGTTGGAGGCACTTGATAGTCCAAAGGCTCCTGCTCCTGACAACATTCTGGCAATAGCACTGAAGACTTGTGTTCCAGAACTTGCTGCTGCTCCCTGACCAAGCTCTTCCAATACACTTACAACACTGGTATCTTGCCGAGGTGTAGTAAATTGCCCAGGTGCACAAAAAGCAGGACAAATCCAATCCGGCTAATTACCACCCCATCAGTCTACTCTCAATCATCAGTAAAGCAATGGAAGGTGTCATCGACGGTGCTATCAAGCAGCACCTGCTCAGCAATAAACTGCTCAGTGACGTCCAGTTTGGGTTCCACCAGGGCCACTTAGCTCCTGACCTCATTACAATCTTAGTTCAAACATGGACAAAAGAGCTCAATTCCACAGATGCGGTGAGAGTGACAGCCCTTGGCATTTCGGCCCCACTCGACCGAATGTGGCATTAAGGAGCCTTAGCAAAACTGGAATCAATGGATATCAGGGGCGAAAACTCTCCACCAGTTGGAATCATATTTGGCACATAGGAAAATAACTGTAGCTGTTGGACGTCAGTCATCTCAGCTCCAGGGCATCCTTTTTCACTGCAGCATAGTATGTTGAGGCTGACTTTATAGAGGCTTATAAAATCATGACGGGCATAGATAAAGTGAACAGCAAAGGTCTTTTCCCTAGGGTGGGGAGAGTTCCAAACTAGGGGTCATATTTTTAAAGGTGAGAGGAGAAAGATTTAAAAGGAACCTAAGGGGCAACCTTTTCATACAGAGGATGGTTCGTATGAGGAATGAACTACCAGAGGAAGTGGTAGATGCAGGTACAGTCACAAAATTTAAAAGACATTTGGACAGGTACATGAAAAGTAAAGATTTAGAGGGATATGGGCCAAATGCTGCCAAATGGGACTAGTTTGGTATGGCAAATTTGATCAGAACGAACAAGTTGGACCGAAGGGTCTGCTTCCGTGCTGTATGACTCTGCAGGAGTTCCTCAGGGTAGTGTTCTAGGCCCAACCATCTTCAGCTGTTTCACCTGCCCTCCATTAAAAGGTCAGAAATTGGGATGTTCGCAATGATTGCACAATGTTCATCACCATACACAACTTCCCAGATACTGAAGTCTATGTCCAGTTGGAACAAGATCTTGACAATATCAAGTGTCAAGTAACATTCATGCCACACAAATGCCAGGCAATGACCCGCAACGATCTAAGCACAGCCCCTTGACATTCAATGATGTTACCATCACTAAATCCTCCACTTAAACACATCCTAGGGGTTACCATTGACCAGAAACTCAACTGGATCAGCCACATAAACACAACGGCCATAAAAGCAAGTCAGAGGCTAGGAATACTGCGGCGAATAACTCACCTCCCAACTCCTCAAAGCCTGTCCACCATCACCAAGGCACAAGTCAGGAGTGAATGGAATACTCCCCACTTGCCTAGATGAATACAGCTTCAATAACACTCAAGACATATACATTCAGGACAAAGCAGACCACTTGATTGATACCGTATCCACAAACATCCACATCCTCCATGCCCAATGCTCAGTAGCAGCAATGTGTACAATCTACAAGATACAGTGCAGAAATTCAACAAAGACAGTACCTTCCAAACCCATGACCACTTCCATTTCAAAGAACAAGGGTAGTGGATACATGGGAACACCACCATCAGCAAATTCCCCTCCAAGTTACTCACCATCCTGACTTGGAAAAATCTCATCATTCCTTCATTGGGAGAAAAACTTGAAATTCCATCCCTTCAGGCATTGTGCATCAACCTACAGCACATAGACTGCAGTGATTCAAGAAGGCAGCTCACCACCACCTTCTCATGGGCAACTATGGACAAGTAATAAATGTTGGCCATCCAGCAATGCCCACATCCCATGAATGAGTGAAAAAAATCAGAATGACAATAGTGATTCTTAAGAGATCTCCGTGGACATGCCTATTAAGTGGTACACTGTGTCCATTAAACGGTGAGTGCATCTGCAAATAAATTTGCTCTGCTTAAATAAATTGATAATGATTTGTAAATGAGATATTTTAGACATCTTGCAATGAAGCAATGCTAGATTGAATGAAAAGCAGTGTTCAATATTTACCTGTCTGTGGTGCAGGCAGGACCCGGGCTGTTCGAATGGGACCATTCCGGACTGAGTACAACTCCTGAGCCTCACCACTCATCTGCATCAAAACGAAAAATTAGAGAGCAAAATTCATCAAAGAACACTCAAAATTCCCAGATAATAAATGTTTAATATTTTCACTAACACAAGTACCTAACGTTGTAATTACACATTTCAGCTGATGCTCCGGACCACACCCCATTATGTCATTTCTGTTTTTCTTATGCCTTGTTCTTACCTCTTCTTCTCACTTTAATTTTTTTTTATTTAACCTATATTTCTATGAACCTGTTCAGAGATGTTATTACACACCTCTGGAGCAGGTGGGACTTGAACCCGGGCCTACTGGTTCAGACGTAGGGACACTATTACTACACCATTAGACCATCCTCCTTCTCACTTTAAACCTTTAATTTAAAACCATTCACAGCTGATGCCTCCCACTCCTTATATCCTCCTCAATCCTGCAACAGTATCCCTGCCCAGTCCCCCACAACCTGACTGCTCAATCACAAGGACAGCCTATTTCTACCATTTTCTACCTACCATTGTGCCTATCTCAATCATTAGTTGTGCCTTTGTGCTGCAAAACCCAGCTGTTCCAACGCTGTCCTGGCAAACCTGCACCATCCATAGACTTCCATAATCCAAATTTTGTTGCCTGTATTCTAGCCTACACGAAACTCCATTTGTTCTTACTAACATGCATTAGCATCCAGTCAACCAATGTCACAAGTTTAGCAGGTTCAATCCTTGCATATAAATCCTGACCCTTTCACAGCTTTTGTGATATACTACTTGAAAGTTCATGAAAAGGCCAATGTCCACCATTTTTGGACCTGAGCAGTATCCAGTCTACCTCAGCGTACCCTGGAAGGGGAAAGTGTCTCAAAATTTGAATAACAGGTAAAGCTAGCTGTCAAACACTGCTACAAGGGTCATGAAGTCAGAATCTACCAAGGGTCAAATGGTCATGGAGTCCAATTTGACTGAAGGGTCAAAGGGTCATGCAGTCAGAATCTATCGATGGTCAAAGGGTCATGAAGTCCGATTCTACCGAGGGTCAAAGGGTCATGGAGACAGAATCTACCAAGGATCAGTAAACCCACCAGTGATTTTCTCCACTGACATCAAGCCAAAAAGACATTTTGTGTACCACACAAATTAATTTCTTTATTCACTCGTGGGACATAGATATTGCTGGCTGGACCAGCACTCATTGCCTATCCCTAGTTGCCCTTGAGAAGGTGGTGGTGAGCTGTATTTTTGAACCACTGCAGTCCATGTACTGCAGGTAATATAACTTCTGAGTTCCAGCGCCAGTATGATGCCAGGTACATAGGCTGTTCATCCCAATGACTATCAGACAGTATCAAACAACATGTTCTGTGCTACAGATTACATCAGAAATCAATTTAAGAGCATCAGCTGGCTTTGTGATGTATTTGCATGTGCTAGAAGCTACATGCATAAATACTGTACTTTATACAGGCAAATGGAATTTGTAAATAAATTGCACCTTTTTCAAAACAGGGTCATAGAGTCAGCCAAACTCCGCTACATCACCACAGCAATGCTCTAACCAATCAGAATCTACCTCTCTGGTCTGAGGATTAATATTGACGGTTAACAGGTCTTGCTGCATCTCAATGCCAAATATGGCCCAACCAACCAGCACTCTCTTCTCATTCTGTCTAAAGTGGTGTCTCTTTTTCTTCAAATCTGTTTCTTGTGTCCTAGTTCCAAATACATGATGAAAAGTTTCAACATCTGGTCTCCTTTTGGCAATGTTTAAATTCTGTACTGCCAGGCATTTATTTAATTATGAATAACCTCATTTCAAAGTAAACAGACAACACCTTTTGAACAGACCCTGAATGCCTTAATCCAGTTTTGTGGACAAGGGAATAGGTAGCAAAGGAAAATTATTTCTGGGGGAAAAAGAAATCAACAAAGGCAAAAACTTTGTGACTGAAAAGGAGATAACACAGTGTGGCGCTGGAGGAACACAGCAGGCCAGGCAGCATCAGAAGAACAGGAAAGCTGACGTTTCAGGTTCTGAAGAAGGGTCCCAAAACGAAACACCAACTTTCCTGCTCCTCTGACACTGCCTGGCCTTCTGTGTTCCTCCAGCTCCACACTGTGTTATCTCTGACTCCAGCATCTGCAGTTCTTGCTATCTCTGAGTGACTGAAAAGGAGTTTTTGTTTAGGTTGGATAATTTATCTGGTATCCCATCACCCAGTCACCCTTTATTGACACATGGGAAGTCCTTGACGCTGAGCCAGCTCTCAGCATGTCAGGATGTCTGATACTCCTTAGAAGAGACTTTGCAGTGGGAGATGATACTCCTGTTTTTATCTGTCAGCCTTGGCTCCCTGGTTGGATCAGATTAACAGGCCCAATCAGGGAAGTTATATTATAGGAGGTCCACCTGGCTGATCTCGTTACAACCGCTACAGTTCACACTATTACATATAAGTCAGGTATCTGTGTACTGAAGTCCCACTGTAATAATCTCAACTAATCAATGCTGAAGGAGTCCTATTCTGCTACAGGTGCTGTCCTTCAGCTGAAATAGATTTAAATCCCATGATATATTGAGGAGGAGCAGAGAGATATTCATCCCTTTTCTAACACTATCAAAATTAGATCAGCTTGTCAGTGATCTTATTGCTGTTTGAAAACTCTTATATATGCCCGAATTTAACTGCTCTACAAATAAAGGCTGTGCTAGATCATAAACCCTAAAATTCCTTCTTAAATGACGCCATATCTCTACCTCTCTTAGGCTTTACTGCGCTCCCCAAAGCTTATCAGTTAGACCCAGTTTTTGATCACCTGTCCTAATAGCTCTTTATATGGCTGGGAGGCAAATTTTAAACACTTTGAAAACATTTCTTCGATGCTCTTTATGTTCCATTATACTAAAGGGTGATATATAAATGTACATTATTCCTGTTTTTGGAATAGCATCCAGTATGGAAAAGGAAAAAACACAACCAAAAGAAATCAAAGCTATATCATTATATTTAGGCCATAAGAAAGCAGCAATCACAAAATGTACTGTTTTGCGGCAATCATTTCCACTGGGAATGAAAAATACATCTTGTAAAAAAATAGTTTCTAATAAACAGTAATTTTGCCATTGAAACAAAGCAAAATACAATAACTGACTTTGTTCACCAAAACTATTAATCTAAAACTTAATGATCCTGACGACATTTTAATCAATTTCTCAACCCTCATTTGAAAATGCATGTAGTTGTTATGTTCGTTTGACCTATAATAACTGCTTCCAAAGTCATAATCACTTGCCCCTATGGCAGCATTAACAAATGCATGGCTGAGCATGGCATGATGTCCATTGTTACGTAGAAAAATGTAGCAACCAAGTTGCACACAGCTAATTCCATAGACACGTGGTTGAGGAAAGAGCATTGGCCAGGGAAGCAGTAGACATTGGAACACATAAGAGCATGTGAAGGCTAAGTACAAGCAGGAGAACGAATCTGGAGCGACCCACGTAACTGTCTCATCAAGTACCATGAACCCCACCTGTGGCAGACTCTGCGGCACAGATGTACCACCAGCAGCAGCACCACCACCACACTTGGATTCTGGAAAAGTACCGGGGAATTGGAAAACTGCCAATGTGACACCCCTATTCAAAAAGGGAGGGTACAAAAAGCAGAAGCCAATTAGGCTAACATCTATTGTTGGGAATATGTTCGAATCAAATTATTAATTAAGTAATAGCAGCACATTTGGAAAATTACAATCTAATTACGTAGACTCAGCATGACTTAATGAAAGATTGTACCTAGGTGCTTCTGTAACTAAGATGGCTCTGTGAATGGCGACTTATGGATACGGGATACGGGAACCAGTAGATATGTTGTATTTGGACTTCCAGCAGGCATACAACAAAGTACCTCACAAAAGGTTGCGTCATAAGAGCCCATGGTGATAGAGGTAATATAATGGTGTGGATAAAGAATTGGCTAATGAGCAGGAAATAGTGACCAAGGGTAAAGGGTTCCTTTTCAGGTTAGCAACCTGTTTCGAGTGGGGTTCTACAGAGAGCAGTGCTGTAGGAAAATGTGAAGTTACTCATTTTGGAAGGGAAAACAGAAGAACACTATTATTTAAATGGAGAGAAACAGCAGAAAGCTGCAGCACAAATGGCCTTCAGAGTACTTGTGCATGAAACACAGAAAGCTTGCACACAAGTGCATCAGGTAATCAGACAGACTAATAGAATGTTGGTTCTTATTTCAAGGGAGTTGGTATATAAGAGAGGTGAAGTCTTACTGCAATTGTACAAGGTGCTGGTGAGACCACATCTGGAGTACTATGAGCAGTTTTGGTTCCCTTACATAAGGAAAGATATCATTTTATTGAAGACAGTTTAGAGAAGGTTCACTAGGTATGCAAGGATTGTCTTATGAGCAAAGGTTGGGAGTCTATTCATTGGAGTTTAGAAGAAAGAGGGGTGATCTCATCAAAACATATAGGATTCTTAAGGGGCTTGACAAAGTAACTGCTGAGAGATCCATGGAAGAGTCTAGGGCTAGACGGTATCAGGGAGACAATGGCCTTGTGGTATTATCACTAGACTATTATTCCAGAGACTTAGGCTATGTTCTAGAATCTAAATTCAAATCCCACCATGTCAGATGTTGGAATTTCAATTCAATAAAAGAAAATTTAAAAATCTGGAAGTAAGAGCCCAATGATGAGCACAAAATCATTGTCAAATGTTGGAAAAACTCACAGACAGTAAGGACTGCAGGCGCTGGAAGCTAGAGTCAATAAATGTGGAGCTGGAAAAGCAAGTAGGTCAGGTAGCATCTGAGCAGCAGGGAAGTCAACATTTCAGGCCAAAACCCTTCGTCAGGACCGGGGAGGAGGTGGGGAGCCCAGACATAAATAGAGGGAGGGTGATAGGGCTGGGGGGAGGGTAGGTGGGATGGAGATAGTGGATGCAGGTAGGGGGTTATTATGATTGGTCAGTGGGAAGGGTGGAGCCATAGGTGAGTAAGAAGATGGACAGGT